ATGGGAAAAGGAAGCCACCCAGGCTCTGCTCCGGTGGGAGAGGCAGGCTCAGAAACAGACACATAAAATCACCTGTGCTCAGTGCTGGGAGCCTGGAAGCTCATTCTCCCCCAGGGTGAGGGCAGGTTCCTGAAGCTTCTGAGCCAGCCCTGCAGGAAGCCCCAAGTCTGAGATGTGCCCAGCTGCTCCGCAATGATGCTTTCTGGTCTCCTGCAGAACCGAGGGGCGGGCCTTTCCTCCCGGTTCCCGGAGCCAGGTCTGCCTGTGAGCCTCTGTCAGGGCTTTTCAAGTCCACTGCGCTCGCATCCTAAGAACAGAGATGGGGAGAGCTGGGGCCCCACACTGCAGGGTCTGAGGGAGCTGCAAATGGGGTGGAGAGACTCAGGGAAGCAGAGAGATGGCTCTGCTGGGGTCGGGAGGCTGTGGCTCTGGGATATTCTGGTGGCTCATTCCTGATGAGCTTTTCTCACTTCTCCCTTACAAACGGGAACTTTGAGACTATTCTGGCATGTGACACTAATACAGATGAGCCCTGACATTCCTCATCTTCGTGCACACTTGGCCTGCTTTGTGTCCAGGCACAAACCTGCCAGGGCCTCAGTTTCCTTACCTGTGAAACTGGGACACATGTAAGAAGGAGGACAAGACTCTGCCCTTCCTGCCCTAACAAGCTGGCATCTCAGACTTAGGGCAAAGCTAAGGGACTTATGGAGACATGGTGCCTAGGTCCAGCCACCACGCTGCGTGACCTTGGGCCTTTACTACCCTTCCCTGTGCCTTGGTCTCCTCACCTGTAAACTGGGGACATAACAGAACCTACCTCATTGGCTCATTGTTAAGATTTGGTGTCTTTGCATCTGTAAGGCACGGGTCTCTGCGTGTACTTCACATCCCACCCACGTGCCAAACTACTGTCACCTCTGTGTTCAGAGAGAGTGCTTCGCCTGGGCTGTCTCACTCCATCCTTCTCCCAGTGCTATGGGGACGTTGTTTTGTTATCCCCGTTTTACAGATGGGGAAACTGAGGCTCAGAGAGGTTAAGTTGCAGGTCAAGGCCACACAGCTAGTAAATGGCAGAACTGCGGTGTTAATCTGCTATGTCAATCTGTACTCGTGGCCCCACCCAGATGCCATCCACCCACAGATCACCAACCATCATCACCTGCCTTCCTCCTTCATCCACCCTGCCTTCCTCCTTCCGAGATCTGTGCCTGGCTCCCGAGATGTGTGGCAGGGGAATTACCTGAGTCACTGGGTCATTGAGGGAAATAAAACATCCAGCTGGATGCTTCTCTCCTCCTGCTCCTGGCCCACTTCATATGCACACACAGGCACATGCATGTACATATGCACACGTACATACCAACACATGCAAACACAAATACACAGAGACACTTGAATGCATGCATACTCATACACACAAGCACATGCAGACACACACTTTCACACATGTGGCACATACTGAATGATTCCAGCTTAGCCAAGAAAACTCCACCTCCCTTTTTTTATCCCGTTGACCCCTGGGGCCCTCCTTCCTCAGACACTGTGTGGGACCTCATCACAGTGTCCCTCTCACCTCAGATTGCAGACAGGCAATAGTAGAACCTCCCCAACACTGGACAGAGCCAGGCAGAGTCAACACGCACACACACTGTCACCTACAACGTGCCAGGCCCCGTGCCCAGAGCATCAGGCTCTCTCTGCCTCATTTGATCCACACACAAAAATCTGGTGAGGATCAAGATCCCATTGTACAGAGCAGGAAACTGAGATTTAGGGAGCTGAGAGGTTTGCCCAAGGCTCACTCAACCAGAGAGGGATGGGACAGGATATCCACCGTGAACAAGACAGACCTGATTCCTGCCCGGGGAAAGGAGCACAGACAGGGAACAGTTGACAGAGAAGAAAATCAACAGCAAATTCCTATGCCAATGAGCTGAGTCAGAGAATAACAGGAGGGACCGATTTGAAATGGAGACGGCAGGGAAGTCTCTCCGGGAAGATACTGCAGCCAAGACCATAAAGAGAAGAGGAACAGAGAGCCCGGAAAGGCATTTGAGGTGGAAGGAACAGCATGTGCAAGCCTTACGGAACCCACGAGTAACCCCACAGTGGACCTGCACTGCCTAAGCTGGCATAGCTTTACCAGCAACTCTTGGTCTGTGTGAGGCTTCCTACTTGTGCTAGGATACAATCAAATAGACCTCACCCTTTAAAGTTTTTCTAACCCGTCCACCTCCTCTCACCAGGTATTAAAAATGCCAGAAGCAGGGAAACCCCTTGCCCTGCCTCCAACATTCCTTCGGGGCAGTTTGGCTGATACAGCTGTTTTATGAGCCCCGGTGAAGGCCTGCATTTTGCATTTCTGGCGATGATGCCGATTTTCCTGTTCACCCCTGGACTGTGACCCCTGGAATAGCCACCAGGGTTTCCAAAGAGGTGGCCCTTTCCTCTTGTTCCATTTATTTATAATGCATGGCCAGCCTCCTCGCCAGAGGAAGCCTAGTTTTATTTACATGTCAGTGCCCCAGAGGGCACAGGGGCCCACATGGCACCTTTGTCCCCGGGCTCACTCTTGGCTCCAGCTGGCAGGTCAGGACAGCTGTCACCTGCTTAGAAGTCAGAGACTCATAGAATTTTGAGGCTGGAAGGGGTGGCATTTCACAGATGGGAATGTGAGGCCCGGAAAGGCCTGGACGTGCCAAGGCCTCCCAGCCTGTCAGAGCGCAGGGAGTACGGAGGGGTCCTTGCCATGCCTCCTACCATGGACAATCACGGTCAGCAGAGGGTGATGGGGACCAGATGTGTGCCTGCTGAGGCTGCACAGGGTCTGACTCCCAGCCCCAGCACTCCTGAAAAGTAACTTAACCCTCAGTGCCTCCTCTTTCTCATCCGTAAAACAGGCTGTCCATCACACTGTAACCCAGCGTTACTGGGAGGAGTCACTGTGCTGGTGCATATAAAGTGCTTAGAAAAGCTCTGGCGGGTGTGCTCAGTGGTTAGAGCTTCAGCTCGAGGGTTTGATTCCTGGTCAAGGACAGGTATCTGGCATGCAGGAGGCAACCAATCGATGTTTCTCTCGCTCTTCTTCTCGTCCACTCTCCTTAAAAGTCAGTGAAAAAAATAAATAAAGTTAAGGATTAACAATAACTAACTAACTAAATAAATAACTAAATAAAGTGCTTAGAAAAGAACCCTGGCACATGCTAAGGTCTCTCTCTGTGTATTAAATAAGTACAATGCATCTATTCACATACACAATAATTACATGGAAACAGTGAATCCCCTGTCAGAGCTCCTGTTTAACAAGAGGAAGGAAGGCCCCAGAGTTGTTGAGTCACTTGCCCTGGAACACACAGCTCTGGACACACAGGACCCTTTCTGCCCCTGGACAGGGGTGCAGAGGGGTGTGTCAGGCGGAGGCCTCTGCCCCCAGGATGGTGCGTCTACTAGTGTGTTCCAGGAGAGGGGAAGGCTCCTCTTCCCTCTGCCTCCAAATTTAGAACACTGGGCACTGGAAAGTGCCCCCAACTCTGGGCCGTGGAGGGCTGTAATGGCCCTTGTTGGGTCCCCCCTTTAGAAGGAGGAGGGGGCCATAGCACCCTGAATGGAATTGGCTCCTGGACTGAGGCTGCTCTTCCCCAGAGAGCGCCTCCGCAGACTCCTCAGTCTCAGGGGACACCAGCCACTTCCTTACCTGGCTCCTCCTGGTCCTGCTTGACCTTTACTTAAAGACCAGCTGTAGCCGCTGATGGGTTTCCGCGGGTCCCCCGAGGAGACCCTTCAGACAGCTCCAGCCTGGCGCGCTGGAGAGAGCCCCTAATTGGGGCAATGAATCATCGTTCGCGGCTCCCGGCTGGACACAAAATAGATAGAGGAGCCGGCGCGCTATTGTGCGCAGTTTGGGACGCGGGGGGAGGGAAGAGGGGGAACAGCCGAGGAAAGGGGGAGAATGGGGAGGAGGAGGGGAGGGCGCGCGAGGGAGGGATTCCCCGCCCGCTGGTTCCCGCCCGCTCTCCTCCTCCCTTCTCCTCCCTCCGCGCCCGCCCTCCCGCCTCCCTCCTCCCCAATAAAAA